TATATATATATATATATAGACTTGGGATCATGTGAGACCAACATGTTTTCGTGAGACCCGTGAGACCAGCATTTTACACTTGAAACTTCACAGCAAAAATGTTGTGAAGGTGACTTTTTAAAACCTTCACAGTGTTTTTGCTGTGAAGGTTCGACTTTTTAAAACCTTCACAATGTTTTTGCTGTGAAGTTTACGTGTAAAAACGTGGTCTCACGGGTCTCACGAAAACAGGCTGGTCTCACGTGAACCCAACCCTATATATATATACCGTCACCGTCACCGCCCCCGTTAAAATCCCCGATCCCTAGTCCGTCTCCAATAAGATGTCCCTAAATCCGACCCGAAAATTTCGATTTTTAATTTTGACCATTAAAAGATATATAATATCATTAAAAGAAAATAATAACATTAAAATTAAAAAGACTTTTATCCATTTTACCTGCTCACGAAAAAGTCTAGTTTATTGTCTAATCTTGAAATCGTGTTGTTAGTCATATGATGTTTGAATTTTTGTTTACATTATAATTGGTTTATTATGTTTGAGACATTTAAACTTACATCTTAAAAAGAAATGTAATTTACTTTTAGTTGTGAAAACTAACATATTGTAAATTCTTTCGGATCGGTTCGTGTTTCGTATAACCAACGGTGAACGGGGAGACCAACGAAAAAAAATATAATTTTTACCCTTAACAGGTTCCCCAAAAAAGGAATGGAGAAACCGCAGGACCCGGCAAGAATACCGATAAAATCTCAGGTAGAGATTGAAACGGTTTTAGTTATCGGTTTCGAGAATAAGAATACCAATAATTGGCCCAAACCCGAGCCGTAGCAATTCCTACCTATAAAGATAATTTTACTATAGTGCCACCCACAAATCAATAACCTTCCAAGTAAAAAGACCATTCATCTCCAACAAAAAACCATAAACCACCATTATTTACTACAGATGATGACCAAATATCAAACACCTCAACCACAAAGCATAAAATGCCAATAACAACACACAGATGCAAACCCCAAAAACTGCCTCCTAAACATTAATCCATCCCCATTGCCATATTGTACGCAAAGCTGCTCTTCTTCATCCTTATTTTTGATTCCATCTTCTCCATTAACGACGCCTCCGATACGTCACCTTCACCGCCACCGCCCTTCCCCTTGCTCTCTCCGGCTGGGGCATCTTCACCGCCAGAGCCTGGCGGTGCCATCTCACCGCCACCGCCTGGAGGGATATCCTGACCACCACCGCCTGGTGGTGATGCAGGAGTAGCTGGCAAGATGGTAGTATAATTCTGACTAGTGATAATCTCCTTCAACCGGTCCTGGCTCAAACCGAATGCCGATGCAACCTCAGGACACAACATGGTTTCCAGAAGAGAACCTCTGCCCGCCAAGAACTGCGGCCAGTTGTTGTGTGCCGATGTCGAGAATCCGAAGAACACGAGCGGACTCGACCGTGAAGCCACTTGGCAGAAGGGGAAGTAGCGTGGGATCCAAAACACGTCCCCTTCTTTCACTTCGGCGTCCATTGCTAACGTTCCGTTTGGATACACGACTTGTATGTTTCCAGATCCGCTCAATACTATACCGTATTCCGTTGCGGTTGGATTAACATGTGGTGCCATCATTGAGCCCTTCAGACAATTAATGCCAATTGATCAGTAATTTTTTTGAATTATATAATATTTTATATTTATATATGGCAAACCTCACACTAACATAAAAACTAAATAGGGATCTGAGATACTTACAGCGGTGAGGTTAACGAGATAAACTCCGATGTCGGATCTCCTAAGCTGTTTATAATCGTCCTGATCAACCATGATGCTCCAACCATAGTCATTTTGGAAATCGGCTTTCCGATCATAGATATTATACGAGTCCAAGGACTTATTGGACTTGTTGCTACTGTTCTCTCCGAAGATGGTTTTCAAGAGCTTCCTCCATGAGGATATCGGCTTCTCGTCCTTCCGGCGTACAGGTAGCATTCTCTTCATCTGCGCTTCCCTCTCGTCCTTTCCTTGCTCCAAGAACCTCTTCCATAGGATCGCTTCGCCCCGATCACCGCCGCGGTCAGGGCCACGATCAGGTCCACGATCAGGGCGACGGCGGTCATCACCACGTTCACCTTGATCACCACCACGGTCACCTTGATCAC